CAGCATCAATGTGCGCAGATGACCGCTCTTTGTGCGCGGATGACGCAGTTTCTCTGTGCGCGGATGACTCGTTTGCAATGTGCGCAGATGACTCGCTTTCAATGTGCGCAGATGACGCGTTGACCCCTTTAATAATCATTAAATTAATCATTTTTTAATCATTATAATAATCATGATGTTGATCATTTTATTAATCATTATATTGATCATTACATTAGTTATTCTATAAATTACTATTTTAATCATTATATTAATCAGTATATTAATCATTATATCAACCATTATACTAATCATTTTAACATTCATTATATTAGCCATTGTATTTATCATTATATTAATCATTATATTAATCATTTTATTAATCATTATATTAATCATTTCATTAATCATTACATTACTCATTATATATAAACTCATTAAATTAGTCAGTATTTTACTCATTATATTATAATCATTGTATTCATCATAATAGTAATCATTATATTAATCATTCTTAAAATATAATCATGATACTAGTCATTATAAAAGTCATTAAATGAATCATGAAAAGAATAATTATATTTATCATTGAATGAATCATTATATTAATCATTTTATTAATCATTATATGAATCATGATATTAATCATTAAATTAGTCAATAAATTTACAAGTATATTAGCCATTACAAAAATCATTATATTTATCATTATCTTAGTCATTATAAGAGTCATTAATTAATCATGAAATGAATCACTATATTTATCATTAAATGAATCATTATATCAATCATTATATTAATCATTATATTAATTATATTAGTCATTGCATTAGGCATTTTATGAACCATTACATTAATCATTATATGAATCATGATAATAATCATGATATTCATCATTAAATTCTTCATTTTAATAATCATTAAATTAATCATTATATAAATCATTGTATTAATCATGATATTGATCATTTGATTTATCATTTTATTAATCATTAAATTAATCATTATATTAATCATTATATTAGTCATTATATTCATGAAAAAATAAGTCATTACATTAATCATTATATTAATCATTATATTAGTCATTATATAAGTCATTAAATGAATTTTGGTTTTTCCGTGTTTTTTTTTGCAGTTTGGCCTGGGGGGCGCCGGGGTGCAAATTTTAGAGACGCGCATTTTTTTGAGAGGTACTGTGATGAAAGCATCTTCACATGAAAAACATTCAAAACAACAATGGAAAAAACAAAAAAAAAGTTCAGACCCATGGGCAAGGTCTGGGAGAGGCCTGGCAGGGGACATGGGTCTGAACTTTTTGTTTTTTTGGTTTTTCCATGGTTTTTTTTTGCAGTTTGGCCAAAAACCTTGAGAACACACAAAAAAAAAGTTCAGACCCATGGGCAAGGTCTGGGCTATCCACACACAAACCAAAAAACCAAAAAAACAAAAAAACAAAAAAAACAAAAAACCAAAAAACCAAGAAACCAAAAAACCAAAAAACCAAAAAAAACCAAAAAAACCAAGATTGCACACCCCAAGGGGAGGGGGTCAGATGCAGAGTGTTGGGTCTTGTCTTTTTGTTTTTTTTGTTTTTTTGGTTTTTTGTTTTTTTGTTTTTTTGTTTTTTGGTTTGTGTGTGGATAGCCATTGCAGATGTGCCAAGCAGAGATTGCCAGGCACTGTCAGTGGTTGCACTAGAAGCAAGGTCGATACACTACAGTACAGCAATGTTTGCTATGACATAGTGCATTCAGCCAATGAACAGCAGAGAGGAATGGAATTCAATTTTGTCCGGTTGCGCCATATGCTGTTGGATCTTTGCACAGGAAATGCTGCAATTTGCGCACTCCCACAGTGGCCTGTTCTGTATTTAAACTTTACCCCCCCTTGCCTTCCACAATACCATCATCTAAAATCTACCTCTTTATTTCAACTTTCCCCCCCTGCCTTCCACAATGCCATGATCTAAAAATCTAACTCTTTATTTAAACTTCCCCCCCCCTTGCCTTCCACAATGCCATCATCTAAAATCTAACTCGTTATTTAAACTTACCCCCCACTTGCCTTCCACAATTCCATCATCTAAAATCTACCTCTTTATTTAAACTTTACCCCCTTGCCTTCCACAATGCCATGATCTAAAAATCTAACTCTTCATTTAAACTTCCCCCCCCTTGCCTTCCACACTGCCATGATCTAAAATCTAACTCTTTATTTTAACTTCCCCCCCCTTGCCTTCCACAATGCCATCATCTAAAATCTAACTCTTTATTTAAACTTCCCCCCCCTTGCCTTCCACAATGCCATCATCTAAAATCTAACTCTTTATTTAAACTTCCCCCCCCTTGCCTTCCACAATGCCATCATCTAAAACTCTAAAATGCCTTCCACATGCCATCTAAAATCTAACTCTTTATTTAACTCCCCCCCCCTGCCTTAATGCCATCTCCTAACCGTTATTTAACTTCCCCCCCCTTGCCTTCCACACTGCCATCATCTAAAATCTAACTCTTTATTTAAACTTCCCCCCCCCTTGCCTTCCACAATGCCATCATCTAAAATCTAACTCGTTATTTAAACTTCCCCCCCTTGCCTTCCACAATGCCATCATCTAAAATCTACCTCTTTATTTAAACTTCCCCCCCCCTTGCCTTCCACAATGCCATGATCTAAAAATCTAACTCTTCATTTAAACTTCCCCCCCCTTGCCTTCCACACTGCCATGATCTAAAATCTAACTCTTTATTTTAACTTCCCCCCCCTTGCCTTCCACAATGCCATCATCTAAAATCTAACTCTTTATTTAAACTTCCCCCCCCTTGCCTTCCACAATGCCATCATCTAAAATCTAACTCGTTATTTAAACTTTACCCCCCCTTGCCTTCCACAATGCCATCATCTAGTTGTTGTTGTCGTTGTCGTTGTCGTTGTCGTTGTTGTTGTTGCTGCTGCTGCTGTTGTTGTTGTTGTTGCTGTTGCTGTTGTTGGTGTTGTTGCTGTTGTTGCTGTTGTTGCTGTTGTTGCTGTTGTTGCTGTTGTTGCTGTTGTTGCTGTTGTTGCTGTTGTTGCTGTTGTTGCTGTTGTTGTTGTTGTTGTTGTTCATGTTGGCGTTGATGTTGATGTGAAAGTTGATGATGTTGTTGTGGTTGTTAATGTTTTTGTGTTGTCGATGTTGAGACTGCTGTTGATTTTGTTCTTGTTGTTTGTTGTGCATGTTGTCGATGTAAGTAAAGAGGCGTCGGGAGCGAGTATGTTTCCGGCGTTGAAAGCGAGTTGATTTTCGGCGTCGGGAGCGAGTGTCCGACCTATTAGAAGCCGCAGTTTTGGAAGCCACTTAAGCCACGATCGCAGGGCGCCTTGGGAGACGCAGCTTTCGAAGCCGCACTTAGAAGCAACAATTAGAAATTGGTAGCCACACTCTGGAGGCATATTAGACGCCGCAGACGCCGCAGATTTAGAAGCCACTTAGAAGCCACAGTCGGAGGGCACATCGGGAGCCGCAGCTTTCACTTAGAAGAAGCCACGCTTAGAAGCCACCTTAGAAGCCACAGATTTAGAAGCCACTTCGACGCCACAATTCGAAGCCACTAGAAGCCACTGTAGAAGGCCATATTGAAGGCCGCAGACTTAGAACGTACATGGAAACCACAATTAGAAGCTACCTTGGAAGCCGCCACTAAGACGCCACCCTCCAGAGCCGCAGATTTAGAAGCCACTTAGAAGCCATGATCTGAAGGCTCAGTAGAAGCCGCAGCTTTAGAAGCCGCACTTAGAAGCCACATTTAGAAGACACTTAGAACCCACACTCCGAAGCCATATTGGAAGCCGCAGATTTAGAAGCCACTTAGAAGCCACACTCCGAAGCCATATTGGAAGCCGCAGGTTTAGAAGACACTTCGACAGCGCTGTTAGAGATCACTATAGCAGGCCAGGTTAGTAGCCGCGTATTGAGCAACCACTAAAAGAAGCCACATTGCAAGCCGCATATTTATAGAAGCCATTTACCCGTTACAATGAGAAGAAGACACTTAGAAGCCACGCATGGAAGCCACAGAGTGAGTGAACTTTCGCACCCTCGCACCTGGAAGGCAACAATCCTAGGTACATAGAAGCCACATACATAGAAGCCATTAGAAACTACATCCGAGGCACAAACGAGGAAAAACCCGAGGCACAAGCGAGGAAAAACCCGAGGCACAAGCGATGTGCCGACCATCTGAATTTATGTCGTCATAAGAGCAAAGTTCCATGAATTCATCTAAATCTTTCAATCTTCTTCCACCATCTAATTAATTTATTTGATTCACCATCTGATCCATCTGATCCATCTGATTCATCATGGATGATCCTTGGATATTCCATGGATAATCCCTGCCCTACCCGTCTCCCCAGTTGTCGTCTCCTGACGTCGCGCCGCCACCCGCGAGGTGCGCGGCGAGCCCCGCGGCGAGCCCCGCGGCGACGCTCTTGGCGAGGCGCGGGGAGAGCGACTGTTCAGCGGGCTGCGGGCCGCCTGGGCAAAGCGCCACATCCAACAGATGGAAGATGGGTCCAGAATGAATGGAAAATGATGGAAAATGATGGGAATAATATGTGATAGTTATCAAATAGTTTATACATTTTTGACATTTATGCGTAATGATGTATTACCATACTACTATGTGTCTGTGTCAATGTGTTAATCTTAAAGATGTCGACCAGGTGCCTCTATAAATGAATGGTCACTGCATCACCCTGAAGGCAAAGAATCTGTAAGCTTTAGATTTTGTAATATTTATATTCCTGAATCCACTGGTCAGTATTCTGATTTCTTTCTCAAATGTAGGTGATTTCCCTATATTTCCCTCGTGCGCGAGGCGTCCCCTTCGAGTGCTCGCCAGGTGCACCTGTGAAATGGACTCCATGGTCTCAGTCCGACTCCTTCGAGCAATGCACGGGTCTGACTCCATGGCCATCCATAACTTCACACAAAAAATTGAGGGATCGATCAACTGTGAGGAAGGCTTTTCAGTGTTCAATCAAATGTTCAGCGGCAGAGAGAGGTCAACGCGCGCAGGGTGGTGCCTGCGGTTGTGATCATCGACCTGATGCAGCAAGGGCAAAGGTAACATGCTCACAGATCTCAGAACAACACAACATTTAGATTTTTTCTATGGCCTTCCGAAAGCTGTCAGTCTACGTTCTGCTGCAACGTCTCAAGTCAGTGGCCTCTAAGTCTCCATCACCACGACCTCAGCATCTTCATGGCAACGCAACCAGGGAATTCGGCCGACCCCTTCACTCTGACATTTGGTGGGGCTGGGAAAACCTGGCAGGGCATGTCTTGGAAAATCCACCTGGGAGTTATCATTTTCAACTGGGGAAGCCAGAGATGGCGAGCTGATCCTTCTGAGGCTCCCAACCTTCGTGATCCAACTTGTCAAAGTGGCCATAGATGTCCTGGTACCACAGCATGCTTTCAGATGTACAACTGGTTGGGTTGGCTGCCCGAAAACATGCATCAGTCAACAAATGTCCAACAAAACGGAACTGCTGCCTGAAATGCTTGCTGCACACGCAGGAAGAGTGCCCGACAAGGCATCGAGGGCAACCTGAGTTGTGAAGCATGTGGAAGCTAGATTCAGCTAGATGTGCAGTTTGTTAAAGTCGATTCTCCAGCTGGTGGAAGGTTCACAGAGCCAGCAAGAGGTAAGGCAATACACAAACTGATTAGCTGTAATGCGATGAAGACATTGTGGGTTTCTATACCAAGTGGGAGTACTATCATGCATACTTCTGCCGTAATAGGGTTTTACATTTCCATGGAGTGGGCCCCTCAGCATCTACTGCGGCTAAGCAACGCCCACTGCTGGGACAATTTGGATGTCACTGGTCGCTTCTTGATGGTCTTCCTCCAGGACAGCTAGTTTAGTCCGACAGGCCTAGCCACCTCAACCATCCTCAACCAACAACCACCAGCTGAGAAAGGGGGTGTCTTTGAACCCTGGTCTGGGCCGTCTTCCTTTTTTTGTGGGTCAAACCTGATGTCTTTCCTCAATACATTCAATTCAGCATGCCTGGTGAAAGCCAAAAGGCGCGAATAAACCACACGTCTCCACCTAAATCCCTGGGTCCTGCTCACCGAGACAGTTGCTGTGGAGGAAAGCTCCTCAAGCAGCCAAAATATACCAAAATAGTGAAAGGGACCAAGATGGCCTCCATGTGTTCTTTTTCTACAAAAACATTGGTCTCATGCCATGTAGTTCAAGTTCTTCCATGGTCGAGTTTGGGGACCCTGCCATACCCTGCCCTCTACCTTGCAGAGATGCTAAGATTTCAACATGAGGGCAAGCAGTGTGCCCTTTTCTGTGGTCTTGCAACATATACCCAGAAACCAAGCGACTTTGGAACAAAAATAATCCCAGCACGGGAACTGTGCTGTCTCCGTCAATTTCTGCGCTGCTTCAGCCAGAAGACCACTGGTACCGGCCTGACGATGGTCACATGCGGAGGTTTCTCTTTGGGATCTATTCAGGCTATGAGAATATATCTGCTGCAATGTCCACCCTGTCCACACTTGCATTGAAAGATCGGAATGGTCTTGCAGGAAGGAAAGGCTCATGCGCACAAACTTACAAACTTGTCTGTCAAGAGTGGAAGGCACAAGGATTGTGTACAGTAGTATGGTGACAAACATGTTTGGGAAGGGCTAGGAACCTGCCATAGATTGCCTGATGATTGCCTGCGTGTTTCTCTTATTCACATCGCAAAAAATGGAGTTCAGCCCTCGCCCAGCGACGGGGGCTCCTTGATTTGGTCTCCATAAACCAGAAGCATAAGCGGCACAAGCACCTGAGGGAAACTATCGAAAAATACATCAGAAAATGTAGTACCCCGTCCCGTACCCTTTGGGCTCACACATGATCCCCTGGCTTCTAGCCAGCTACTCTATACAGAGCATGATCAACTCTGCTAGTAGATGGTTTCCAAGCAGTTGATCCATAGCTTGCAAGAGTCATTTTGGATTACCAAATGCAATTCTCCATCCAATCTACGAAGCTGTTTGTTCTAAGGACACAAAAGGAACGATTTCAACTTACTGCTCCAACCAGTTTTGAAACACAATGCTCCAATGTGTCGTATTTCTTGGTTCTCAGCATCTTTGCAAAGGCATTGCACCTGATCACTGGGCAGCCGTCAGTGAGGCATGGTTCCCACGAACGAGAATCTTCAGAATTGGGCTTTGTGGGGCTGGCCGGGGGGAACCTCCCAATTGGAATACGGCAGGACATTGTCTTTTTGCCAAAACATAGTTCTTGCTCTTACCTGTAGACCAAAGCATTTCAAACTGACTAGCAATTGGTGAAATGTGCAAGAAATGTCCAAAGTCCCGAGAAAACTGTCCATCGATATTCATGTTCTTCGGGTGCTTAGCATTTCCTGGTCGCCGCAGGACCGACATTTTCTCTTCCGTTTCATGATGTCAGCCGCCATCCAACTTAACCAGCTGGAGAGCCAAGAATTTCTGCTCCACTCACATACTCCGAGCACCATGCCAAAGGCGGCATCCACAGTACTGTAGGTTGAGTATCGTGATGGTGCCGCAAACTAGAGTCTGCTTGGATTCCTTCCTGCACGCGGTGCCAGCGCACCAGTATTGAATCTGCCTCTCAATATGGACAGGATATTTGATACACTTTCCCGTGATAAATGTGCAGGGTCGTCTCAAATTCCCGCGCAGCATGACAGAGGTCAAAGGTCACGCCAAGACACAACCAAACGGTTCGTCATGTACGCTCTGGCTCTTCGAAAGCAAAGCATCGCCTTCACTCTGGCTCTTCGAAAGCAAAGCATCGCCTTCACTCTGGCTCTTCGAAAGCAAAGCATCGCCTTTTCTCTGGCTCTTCGAAAGCAAAGCATCGCCTTCACTCTGGCTCTTCGAAAGCGAAGCATCGCCTTTTCTCTGGCTCTTCGAAAGCAAAGCATCGCCTTCACTCTGGCTCTTCGAAAACAAAGCATCGCCTTTTCTCTGGCTCTTCGAAAGCAAAGCATCGCCTTCACTCTGGCTCTTCGAAAGCAAAGCATCGCCTTCACTCTGGCTCTTCGAAAGCAAAGCATCGCCTTCACTCTGGCTCTTCGAAAGCAAAGCATCGCCTTCACTCTGGCTCTTCGAAAGCAAGGCATCGCCTTCGCTCTGGCTCTTCGCAAGCAAAGCATCGCCTTTTCTCTGGCTCTTCGAAAGCAAAGCATCGCCTTCACTCTGGCTCTTCGAAAGCAAAGCATCGCCTTCACTCTGGCTCTTCGAAAGCAAAGCGTCGCCTTCACTCTGGCTCTTCGAAAGCAAAGCATCGCCTTCACTCTGGCTCTTCGAAAGCAAAGCATCGCCTTCACTCTGGCTCTTCGAAAGCAAAGCATCGCCTTCACTCTGGCTCTTCGAAAGCAAAGCATCACCTTCAGCGATTTGATTCAAAGCCTCCACACCAACACGTGTGATCACATGTTGCTCCACTGTGCTGAAGTTTAGACTTTGGATGCTTGAGAGCCACCCCTGGTGTTTTTCAATGCCACGTTCAAATATACACACGCGGTGACCCTTCTGGTCCCTTTGATCCTCCGATGTGAATGAAGACACTTTTCCGTCAAATCCGGATATCAAGTCTTTCGAAGCCCTCCGAAGCAAAGACGCACCCTCTATACCATACTTCTGCTTAAGAGCGTCCAGATCTTTGAATGTTGTTTGTGAAGTCCAGCAAGCAGAGAGCTCTGATGCCTCCAGAAAGATGCATGTCGGGGTACGGTTGCACCCATGACCTTCGCTTTCCCGAGCCCTTGAAGCCATCTGTTTTCCGAGGGCAGCAAGATTTAGAACCCTAGCTGGCAACGTTCTCAAGGATCTGTGCTTGAGTTCTTTTGCAAATGCGAAGACCGGCGCGCTCTGTTTGTATTTGCTCACTATCTTGGCCAAACCGGTCTGCAACTCTAGCACGCTTTCCTTTGTGAAGGGGCTCACTTTCAATACAATTACCCAGAGGCAGCCTGCTGTCAAGAGAACGTCTGCGATGTCCTCCAAGCCTGCTAGAGGAGTCTCATGTAGACTACAGAGGTCATCTATCAGTCTTCTTTTGAAGGCTTCCGACTGTGGAAGGTTGTCGAGATGTACGTCTGGAACGTGGAAAGCCGCCATGTTTCCGGCAAGCAGTTCTCTTCTTGCCTTAGTCACAAGAACACATAGGGACGTCACAGAGACCACTTGTTGGCAACATTACCAGTTCCCACATGATTTAGGGAACAGCAAGGGCTGGACGCATACTTTGTTGTTGAACTGTCCATTTAGGGGCAATTTCCAGACGAATCTGCTGATCGAAGCTGTTCCAATCCAGCTCAGGTGAGAAAATGCTCTGGGCTCCCCTGGCAAGTCTACTGTAGGCGCCAAATCTGTGACACGCGAGTACACGGCTCTCACCCAAACCCCTAGTGAGTTTACTTCAGATTCAAAGTCTGCATCAGGTGATATCAGGTGAGTCTATCGTTCTCACCAAACCCCTCATGAACTTACTACGCACAAATTCCAGGCATTTGTTCAGCTGCACTTTGGGAAGAAGGTGGACACACCCCTGCGCCATTTTTCTGAGGGGATCATCTCTCTCTCTCTCTCTAATTTTTTTCGAGAATCCAAGCTTGGGCCCAACACACACGTTAATGCGTTACAGCGGGCCACGAGCAGTACCTTGTTCCAAGCACCAACTCACCACCTGCAGCAACAACAACAGCAGCAGCACCATGTAGTGACACCCTGTCTCCAAAGTACACTTATGCATCTCTTTCGAAACAAATCCCATATACTGTAGCTCAAGTTATAGGGGAAATGTCATGGCTAAACTGACTGGATGTGGAAAAGAAGATCCAACACACTAAAACATGACCATGACCATCAGAAGCTTGGCGAATTCGGCACGACCAGTGGCGTCCAAAACAGGAGTATAGAAGTGGTTGATGTCTTGCAGTAGCTGTTGAATTTTTTCTCGCCAGTATTCCCAGT